ATTCAGGAATTATTTTAATAATTGATTAACAGTTGCTACCAACATAGTGCATTTATTTTGAAAGAGACTGTATGTAAACAGTAAATTTCCTGTAAAAACAGAAATGTATTTTGAAAGAAGACAATGCATGAAAAAGGCAGAACTTGACATGGTGTCCCAGAAAAACAACCAACGCACCCAGGGTACCTTGCACGTCGTATGTGGACGTGGAATGTTTATGACCAAAATGTCGTTAAGTGACGAGGTTGGAGTGAGAATGTGTTGAAATAATTGTACATTTAATTGAACAATTTGAAAGTTTTATTACACTTTGTTCCTAAAATCCACCCTAAATCCAGCATTCTAGGATCAGGATAATCCTGATTTCTTGGATCAAAATCCCAATCCTACCAAAATGCTTTGAACAACACACACTGAAAGTTTGATCCGGATCAAAACCAAGACTGGATTACATGATCTTATTTGAATTCAGAATCTTTTTTTTTCTTATGAACAACCCATTATGAAGATTTGATCCAATCCAAAATCTGATCAGATTACTTCTGAACAACCAGGCCCAGGATGTTGTTTGTTCAGATTGTGGCTGTGATGAATACTGCAGCCTGTAGGGGGTGCTAACGGGCGCTAACTAATTTTAAAAAGGATTTTATAGTCTTGTGAGACTTCATCACAGACAAAAGAGTGTTTCACTTCCTGAGGACAGAGATTCAAGTCAGAGCTCAAACTTTTCACAGAGGTCACAGTTCAAGCTGAATTGAACTTAAATGACCTTTAATCTGCTTTTTCTCAGAGATGACGGCGTAGTGAATCACGCCCATCTGACATTGAGGACAGACTGACTCTTTGTTTCTGAGCCTGTTTTTGACTTTTACTTCAAATTCCAGTTTAATTCTGTGAATCGGTTCAATTATTTCCAGACAGCAGCTGCTTAACGCTTCATCTTCTTCTTGTTTGTTGTGGGGTCACATCAATGCTGTGTGAGTGTGTGTGTATGTGTTAGTGTGTGTGTGTTAATGGGCCTCATGCAGCAACATTCTCTTAAATTTCTGTTATATGTTCTCGTAAGTTTCTGTTGAGAAAAAAAAACAAGAGAAGTCAACTTCAGATGTACCAAATGTTCTTAACCATCCCAATCTGCTCTTAACCAGATGTGCTGAATGATCATAGGGAATCCATTAGCAAAGGTAACGCCCCTTAAACACTATATAAAGGCAAGTATGGTGCAGTGGAATTGAAAGAATTGCAGTGGAGTTAAAAGTACAATATTTACATCTGGTGCCACATCCACAAAGCTGCATCATACAAAGAGTTGCTTCTAGTGACATAACTCTAAGAAAATTCTTAGAATTATGAGTCTAAAAGTTTCTACTTAAAGTTCGGACTAGGTATTTGTAAAGATAAATGTTACTCACAAAGCAGCTTAGCCCTAAAGAGAACTCCTAAGGTGAAAAACTGTTAGGAGCAGGAAGGAGTACTTTTAACAGTTTCTTAATTAGATGAGAATATGGTGGAAACACGAAGAGAAAATATTCTGCAAACACTGGATGACAGTGAAGAAATTACATGCTACAAAAAACAATAGGGACTTCGTCCTTTGGCCGAGGTCCCTAATTAGATTGTGCAGGAATAATGTTTGCGGTTGATCTCATTAGGAGTACGTACACATTTCCTGCCCAATGCAATAAAGCTGTAAGGCCAAAAACAAAATGATCACAACACTGAGATTTTTGGAAAACTGTAAAAACACAACAGTGCAGCAGTGATGACTTGAGTCTGTCTCAACCTTCTATCAGCAGAGTGATCACAATAACAACACTTTCACAGTCAGCAGTTTATCTCATTTCCACTGGGTGTCCACACCTTGCAGGCTCACAAAGGCTCCGTGACAACCAATCACATCTGTTAAAAGAATTCATCACACCTTGTAACAAGGTCAACCACACCTCCTCACTAAGATAAAAGTCTATGTCCCTTCCTTGGTCAGAGTTGCTCTGAGAACTTTTTTAAATCACTCCTAAGTTAAGTCTCCTTACTAAACTTTTTTAGGCAAAGTTAGAAGCTCTCTGAGCGTGCTCTCACAATGTTTGTGAAAATGGCCCCTGACGTATAACTGAGCACATTTACTCAAGTACTACACTAAAGTACACATTCAAGGTACTGTTACTGTACTTGAATATCTTTATCTCATGCAACTTTCTACTTCTACTCCACTAAACGTCAGGGGCCGTATTCAGAAACATTCTGAGAAAACTCTCAGTGACAAACTTTAGTAAGGAGTCCTAGCTTAGGAGTGATTTAGGAAAGTTCAGAGAACACCGAGCAAGGAAGTGACAGAAACTTTTACCTTGGTGAGGAGGTGTGGTTGACCCCACTGCTAGGTGTGATGAATTCTTTTAACAAATGTGATTGGTTGTCACAGACACGCCCCTTTGTGAGCCTGCTAAGTTTTTCACCTTAGGAGCTCTTTTAAGGCTTAAGAGTCGTTAGGAATAACTCTTATCTTTATGGAGGACCTAGTCTTAACTTGAAGGGGAAATTCTAAGAAAATGACACAATTCTAAGAATGTTCATGGAATTTTGTCACTAGGAGCAACTCCCAGTACAAGGAAGCCTTGCGAATGGGGCCCTGGCCCTGGACAGCAAAGGGACGCACAGTAACTGAATTTACAGTAATTGGGATCAATGGACCAACCATAGCAGTATTTACTTCCCTACTACCCACAAATGTAATAATCCATTCATTATAATGACACAAAAACATAACATTTTGTGGACTGTGAAAACGAGATGTTTTCCTCTTAGCTTGGTCAGAGTGCTCTGGACCTTCGTAAATGTTCTCTTATAGAAGAAAAGAGCAAAAATCAGAAAACATTGGTGAATCCCAGAAATCTATGGGTAGTATCACTCCCTGCATGAGGTCCAATGTGTGTGTTGTGTGTGAGTGTTTACTCACTCCGCAATCTCTCTCCATTCTGGAGGATTACTCATCGTCATGAACACACAGTTGGTCAGAACCGTCACCAGGATGAACAAACGGAATAAAGTTTTGGTTTTAAGGAAAAAGTCACTAACATGTTAAACAAACAGTGTGATTGTCAGCAGTAGCAGTGATACATGAAGAGCAGTATACCCAAACCAGACAACAGAGACATAATGAAAAGACTATATGAGAGTCTGATGGTTTCACTAACCAATCAGGGAGGAGCTTACCTGGTAAGACTATCTTAAGCCAAACATTCTGTTTCGCTCTCTGTGTCAGTCTGGACTCGGTGCCACCCCAAACACTTTGGTGCCATGTCATAATTCCGACATCCAATTATTTCGACATCCCATTATTACGAAAATTACCCATTGTTCCGAAATCTCAATGCTTTGACATCCCATTGGTTCAACCATATTAAACCCATTGTTCCGAAGTCCTGTTGTTCCGAAATCTCAATGTTGCAATGCAAAAAGTTGAAAAAGCAAGCAGCAAGGGAAAGCAGCAAGAGACCGTGTTGTTGCCATGACGACAACGGTCGCCCTGTTTTGAGGAAGTAAAAACGATGTTGAAAGTTATAATTTTAACCCAAACTATGACCTTTTCCTAACCTTAACCAAATACTTCTTATGCCTAAACTTAACTAGACCTTAACCATGAAACAGTTATTTTGTAACAATGAAAAATTAGATTTCGGAACAACAGGACTTCGTAACAATGGGTTTAATATGGTTGGAACAATGGGATGTCGAAACACTGAGATTTCAGAACAATGGGTCATTTTCAGAACAATGGGATGTCGGAATAATGGGATGTCGGAATTATGAGCAGACCCCAACACTTTCCAGAAATTATAATCCAATCTGGACCAATCAGGGATCTGCACTGTAGTTGACAACGTAAGCAGCCAATCAGGGACTGCTTAGTAGCTGATGACGCAAAATGCAGGCCACTTGCTGAACAGTAATGGCAGCTCTCAACGCAACAAGCGCCTGATGCACAACGTAATTTTGCCAAGTAGGACATGCCCCTGGATCAACATCCCACAATGCCTTCCAGGACCAACTTTGCAATCAACCAATTACAGCCCTCTGACATCATCAGTGTGCTGCTCCTGTGCTTCTTTTAAAATTCCTATGCATTTCTTCAGAGCTAAGCTAATTTTCCACATTTAAGTTAGTACAAATGAACAAAATCCTCAGTGACATCAAACAAAAACCTTATAAGCTACTGCAGGGTTAGCAAGTTAGCTTACAAAGTAGGTTGGCTATGTTAACGAGTAAGCTTACCAGTAGGCTAAAATATTGTTTAATAACATTAAGAGTAAAGATAATGTCATTTTGCAGTTTCAAAGACCTGGACACATTTTCCCTCCTTTTTCAATGCCTATTTTAAACTATTTTTGCAAGAGTTTTTTTATAGGCTATAAAAAGGTATTTGCAACTGGAAAATTATATTCACAATCTTTGTTAGTGAACAAAGCCTATTGGCAAGCTAGTTAGCATAGCCTACCTGCTTAGGAAGCTAACTCATTAACAACGTCGTAGCTTATAAAGGTTTTGTTTAATGTTACTGAGGATTTTGTTTATTTATACTAACTTGAATTTGGAAAATTAGCTTAGCTCTGAAGAAGCACAAAGAAATTTTAAAAGAAGCATAGGAGCAGCACACTGATGATGTCAGAGGGCTGTAATTGGTTGATTGCAATGTTGGTCCAGGAATGTGATGTGGGATGTTGATCCAGGAGCATGTCCTGCTTGGCAAAATCACATTGTGCAGGAGTAAACACAGCAATAAGTGAAGTTATTGCAGAAACAATAATACAAGAACAAGAGATTGCTCCCTGGTGTTTTGTTACGCTGATTTGCTGAAGGTGTTTGTCTGTCAAGGCGAGAACTCCCGCCCACTGAAAGTGTTTGGGGTGGCAGCGGGGCCACACTGATACTGAGAGCAAAAACAGAATGTTGAGCTCGAGGCATCAGGATGGTGTTACTGGGCTAGGGAGGAGCAGAGTGTGACATCATAAAGGATATAAGTGAATGTGGATCTTGATGGCGGCGGTCCTCAGCAGGTTGAATGGACTCAACAGGTAACAGGCCGACTCAGCATTAAACCTGTGGATGATGTTTCCTTTACCGAGCACGATGAACGTCTGCAGAGAGACACACAGGTGTCAGAGTGACTCCTGTCTCTTACGGGCAGTGAGGAGTACATTTCGTCAAAAATATACTTTGTAGGATTAAAAAATAAACAAAATACAAATGTATAGACTCATCCAGCAGTAACCACAATTATAGAGAAGCGAAACATCAAATGGACAAAGCTGGGGTTGACTTTCACTTTCACTGGTGAAACTGTTTGCAAACAGAACAGTCTATCTTTAACTGTGATGTTGTGTCTGTGACCCCGACCCTCTGCAACAGCTCACAAACCTTCTGAAAATTGCCTTATCAGGTTTTCATACTTTAATGAGAATATCTTATAAACCTGGTTTTAAAGTGATGACATGTTTCAGAAGTCTGTTTTGAATGAAAGAAAGAGACCTTCTTTGACTGGTAGTAGGGATCCAGCTCCTCCAGTGGGGTGTTCAGAAGCTCAGGGGGCGGGTCCCCATAGAAGAATGGGAGTTGCTTCCCTGCCTTCAGGTCACTGGCTGGTTTGGGCAGGTCACTCTTCGCCACCTGTCAACCACAGAGAGAGACAAACAGAGAGGAGGATCTGGCTTTTGTGTAAACCGTGTATGTGTCATGTGCAGACAGGTATAATGGCCCATACACACCAAACCGTCACTGAAGAACTAACAGTGACAACAGCAGACTGTTGTGCCGTTTCACATTGCCTGTGTCTCCCAAAAACCTGCACATGAACACACTGCACAGACTACAGCAGCCAACCAGCACGTACGTTTTGCACCACTGTGAGAGGAAATAAATCTCTACACCAGCAGATGGCAGTAGTATGTAGTCGTCATTCAAAAAGGGAACCAGAAAATTGTAATGATGCTAGTTAGCCAGTGTTAGTGTTTGTTTACACGCTTCTCGTCTCCTGCACCAAGCTGAACAGCTGCTCTCTGTGATTTAGAGCACTGATGGGCTCTGCTGTCTCAGACGCTGATTCGACATGCTGACTTGGTTGAAAAAAATGCTGACAAGGGCCAATGAGGGCCAACAATGCAACATTACGACAGCAAAGACTTAGGCCACAGACACCTACCGACGGCCGACCGATGGCTTGGTGTGTCAGGGCCTTAGGGCCCTAACACCAAAGAACGAGGAACATATTTTCATATTTTTGAAAACTCACAAAAATCAGCAAGTTCAGAGCTGGTGTAAATTGGATTTTTTATGGGTTTTGTGAGCAGGTGTCACAAAATGGCTACATACAACATTTCAATAAAGTAGCCCTCATGATTCGTTTCACCTACACATACAAAATTTGGGATGCACATGAAACATCCCAAGGCTTAAACAAAAAAAAAAGTCTCTTGGAGCCATACCCTCCTCCCAACAGAAAGTTACCCATTTTGTATCTCAACTTACATGGTCAAATCTAATCTCTCAAGACAGATTCTTCAAGTTACATTGTAGAATCTGTCGGCAGCCCTGTGTGAAAGACGACTACGGGGGGGGGGGGGGGGGGGGGGGGGG